CGATGTACACAATATATGTGTATTTATTCTCTTATTCTCTCTCGCACAAAGACAGACACGCACATTCATCAATACAAAATTTTAAATACACACACGCACACACACATATGACAGGCGACAGCCTGTTTCATGCTTGAACGCAATGAAACAGGCTGTCATCGCTTGATGATGACCTCAGTGTTCCAATTTGACATTTACATGGTCTCTATCTTTGATATTGAGCATTTTTTGAGCATTTTTACCCATAATTGTTGCATACTTTCATATATATATATATATATATATATATTGCATACTTTCACACACACACACACACACACACACACACACACATATATATATATATATATATATATAAATATATGCAAGTATAATTAATTATGGGTAAAATGCTCAATATCAAAGATAGAGCGCATGTAAATGTCAAATTGACACTGAGGTCATCACCAAGGACGACAGCATATATATATATATATATATATATATATATATATATATATATATATGACACATGACACAGTGGATAAAGGCGTTAGTTAGATCCAGTGACAGAACCCAAAGAGTGTGAATTCAATAGGCAGTGGAGAACTTTCAGAGGGAAATTAACATGAGGTAACTGATAACTGACATCCATTAAACATGGCACGTGGAACTAGAACAGTCTACCCCAGTGAGTGAAATAAAGGGTTCAGTTCAACATTCCAATCACCTGAAGAAGGATGCTTGAAATGTTGTAATAAATATGGCGACAAAGATGAGGACAAAAGTCCGAATAATGCAATTATATATATATATATATATATATATATATATATATATATATATATATATATATATATTATCCAATATACGAATGTTGGTCAAAATATTGGCTATTTTCTAATTAATTTTTAATTGCAAACAATACCTACCAAAATTAACATAAATGCCCCAGGATTCAAAATGTAGTCCCCAATATAGTCTCCTTCCGCCTTACACTTTTGAATGAGAGCATGTAGAGTCACCTCCTGAAAGCTTCTTCGGTGGTTTTTTGGTGGTTTCTATATGCCCTTTTGCCCCTTATTATAATTGAAGAATCGCTTTTCTCTGAGTGATATCTGTGTTATGTAGTCTCAGACGCCCATGGGCTTCTACTACTTAGGATAACTGCTAGCATTCTAGAAATACTCTTTGCTCTTTGAGTGACCAAGAGACTGTGATATTATAGCTCACCTGAAGACTCGCAGTCTTACAATAGTTGTTATTCTGTCAGCTGTAATGACAGCTTCAGCCTGTTTGACCATATTTATATTCATAGAAGTCGTTGGCTTGTCACTGTGGAGACTATCACTAAGATCATTTTCCTTACTCTCTCATGTTGACATTAACGCTACTGTACTATCTCCTTAGTGTGCTGATAAATGCAGTCTTTCCATAATCATTCACTAACCTTCAGTGAGCTGTACTTACTCCTTAAAAAATAAAAAAAAGTAAAAAATGACAGCTTTTTTTTTCTACAGGTGTCCATTTTGAAAGACTATTATGGGTTGGAAAAGAGAAAATAGCTCAATACATTTTTCCTATAGGTATCTCGTCATTTTATTGGTTATATCTTAAAAAAAAAAATATTAATTTTAACTAATACTTTTAAATTAAATTTAAAAAGACATTACTTTTTAACTGAACTTCATGCAAGTTGTTAAACAAATATTCGAGGGATTTGACCATAAAAGATTACTTAGCCCAAAGCTTTGTTTTGAATTAGTGTTCATGGATATCGCTATAGCAATCTCACAAATAATACTGTGTCAAAAGTTCGTACAACATTATTTTCCCGCTCACTGTTCAAATACACCAAGTATTTTTGTAACACACTATGCAACAATATTTCAACTTTTTAAATATATACAACTTATATTTTAGTTATGATTGGATAATATTATATTTGACAATGTGTCTAACAGCACTTTGAGGCTGAATCATGTGAATGTAGCATTCATTTTGTCATTTAAGAGACGTGACACTTTGCCTATCTATCAGATGATAAAGCAGAGCACTGAGGGAAATCGGTACATGCCTTTTCCTCGAGCTTTAGTTCAAAGCAAATACAAACACCTTCAATTGGAAATCGAATTTGGTTCACTAATACCCGTCTTCCGTCCCTCTTCTCCTTACTCTACAACACATTCCTATCAGTAGAAGAAACAAACATTTAAAGATGTTAAAGAACACACATACTCATATATCATACAGTCAATCTATCGGTGATGAACGACATTTAGTCCTAAATATATCAATTCGTTGGTCGGAACAGGCACAGACAGTTCTTTGATTAGCGCCAGTGAGTCAAATGTTCGTCTGTGTATATATATATATATATATATATATATATATATATATATATATTTCTAAGTATATAACATTCAGAAACATTTACAAATATACTAAAAAAATAACCATAATAATATCTTCTATCTATAAAAGGCAGGATGTGTGTGTGTGTGTAACGAATGCACGGCCGCAATTTTCGACGGATTTGCACCAAAATTTACATGCACATGCTCTAAGTTAGCGGGAAGGCCAAGACCGACCTTGCATTTCCCAACTCCCATCGATAGTGAAAATAATCGATTTTTTCATGCTTCTACGGAAGTTTTCATGTAGTTTGCGGCCATTTTGTACTGGCCAGAGTGAGAGCCTATAGCTGACTTCCACGAATAGGCAGGAAGATTCTATTGGCCAGTGTGAGAGCCAACAGCTGGCTGACACGAATATTAACTAGCATGCTAGCATGCAAAAAAAAAAAAATCGATAGCTGCATTCGAAAAAAAAGTCGGAAAAATTTAAATCTGCATGGCACTTTACTCTAATGGGCTCATTCGCTTGCTTTGACTCAACATTGATTCTGATTCCGCATAACTGGGTTGGGTGTGAAAAAGTATTTCTTGTTAACATTCTTTTTTCATACGGTTTTTCCAGTTACGAGTCCTTTTTTAAAGCTGATCGTTTTGTATTGATTTTGTTTAGTTCTTTTTCGTAACAGATTTAATGTTTAGTATAGAACTTAGAAAAAATTCGCAGTGTGAGATAGGCAAGAAGTAAGGCATGTAGCAACATCAGCACGGCAAAGGGCACTCCTTTAGAGGTAAGGAAGGGCAAAAATATTTTAAGTCAAGTGATAGCGATTGCTGTATGAGTCGTATGATTTTTGAATCAAGCACGGGCAACACTGGGCCATGCTGCTAGTAGTTAATATAAAAATAATAATAATTTAACTTGAATTTTTAATCAACTTTATGATAGTCCGTTGATAAGTACTTAATGTAGGGACTGACTGTGTAATGTGTTTTATTTACAGACTAGCCCCCATTTGGCTTTCCTTTTACCCCCTCTCTTTTTATTTCATTTAAATCTAGTGTGTTGTTATATAATTGCTAAGAGCAATGGACTGCTAGCCAAGATTTCAATTATATGTGGTGATGGTTACTTTGTTTTTTTTCTTACAATATACATTGGAGAAGTTAAAATTACGTCAAGCCGTGACCTGAAAAATAGCATTATCCAGTGGTTAGTTACATACGTTGTATATCAGTGTTTACAAACAGACATTATTCATACACCGGAAAAAAAAAACCATTCACTCACACACGCAATAACAGAGCAGCAAATGTAAATTTATGTTGACGAGAAGTCTTTAAAAAATCATTTACTTGAACGAAATTTTTCCCAAATATGAACACCTGACTGCAGACGTAAATAGAAAACAGTATCAGTCGCCATCGTATTATTAAATATTCAGTCAACGTTTTATTCAAAATACATGATAAATATTGTCCTTAAATTTTAAAAATGAAAAGCTAAAAACGTTCCCACTGGGACAACAGTCATCAACTCCAAATTTCTCGCTAGCACATTTGAAACTTATTACATGTAAAACAATTGCAGTATTGCACATATATCGCACAATCCGTTGACAGTGAACTGACTGTTTCAGTCTTGGACTAACCCAACACAATAATATGAAAATTATTGACTCAATCTGTGTATCATTATATACAATTCTAAACACGAGTGCAATGATGTCCTTTCTTTAATGACAGGCTTATTCATGATAAAATATTTTGTACACTGCTAAAATACTAATGATGTAAAGTTGAATTTACGAAAAAAAATTTAGCCTAGTAATGTCTAAACTGTTCGGCTCTCATCACATGAATCAATAACAACATTATACTGGCAATCTTTTACATAAGTTCAAAGTATGATAGAGGAAGGACAGTTCAATCGATAGAGGAAGAATTTTTAACTTTTTTTTCTTTTTGAAACAACGTATGTTTTCCTACTTGGTAAACGTTTTACAGCAAACGATACTTATTCATCACAGTGAATAAATTTTTTCTTTGACGATAATTTGATCGAATTGTTGAAACTGATTTGCAAGAGAAAGGCATTAGACTGTGACGAGTGTATTAATGATTGTACGTTGACAAAACTGACAATTGTACACATAGCTTTTATCTTATATTTGCTATTACTACATCTGTAGGTAGGGTGGGGATGGTACTGTACTAATTCACGTACCCTCTTCTCAGGGTGTCTCATCGTGGTGTAATGATCAGAAAGATGGACTTGTAGATCATTAGTTGTGAGTTCGGTACTCACAAGGTGCCTTAGATTTGTGGGTAGCTTTGGGCCCAAACTAAGGTACACTTAGTAAATAGCAACCCTCATCTTCCCCAACCACCGTGACATGCTATTGATAAGATTTCTCAAGATATTTGGTGATGGGAAATGGAACAGGTAGAACTGGACTCACTTGAACTTCAGAAGAAATTTACCTCTGTTCGATGATTCCTTCCGATAGCATTTACCTATCACTTACAACAATATATATCATCTACATCATTATGAAGAGTTGCTCAAAAGTGTAAAGTTTTCGTCACATTCAACTTATCGAAGATGTAACCATACATCAGAATTTATTTCAGAATTCTTTCTTAGCCTGGCCGAGAACTTTTCAGTACCTTTATCTATCTATCTATCTATCTATCTATCTATCTATCTATCTATCTATCTATCTATCTATCTGTTTTGTGGCTGTTTGAAATCGTATATTAGCACATAAAGAGTTAATATGTAGGCTAGATATTAATTTTACAGGTGTGACGTGCTGATTGTTCCCAAAAAGAGACGCTAAAATTTTATTGTCACAATTAAGCGCTGTCTAGTTTTTGTTTTGCTTTGGTTTTGTTTGTTTTTAATCATTTCACTTCAAGCAAGTCAATAAAGTCACTAAGATGCAAAAAGGAGTGTTACTGAATGTGGAAGAATATGAGAAAAAAAAAACATTTTTAAGGAAAGCGAACTATAAAAGAAAAAGAATTAAGAAGACAAAAAATAACGACTGGCATTGCATTTGAAGATACTGGAAGAGAATTCTGCAAGTGAGAAGTGCGAGAAACGAAATTTGAGGATAGAACTTAGCATAGAACGGTTATATCTAGTCATTTCAATTGTAAAATGATCAGACCTAGCTGTCAATCTGGTACTGCGCTTAAATTTGTAAAGTTGAGGTACCAAAGATGAAAGCTCATTAGAACAATCTTCATTAAAATATTTAAACAAAAATCATAAGAAAGCTACATTATGGCTGTGGGAATGCCACGTTAGGACGGCTAACATTGTAGGTATTTCTTTGGATTTTATCAAAAATCTGTAAATACTACTAGAAATAAGGTGCAGTCTGAATTAAAAGCGTCATTTTAACAACAGATAATGAAATAAGATTACCAAGAAGACAGATACAATATCAAAATATGCAATCTAAAAGCTAGAATTTATACATGACTTTAGTGTATACAGCCATTTTACACCGAGTACTGGTAAGGTTCTGTGCTACGTTACATTAGCTCTTGTTGTTCAAATTCCACGAAAGTTTTAGATTAGCAATTCGTATAATATACACAACGTATACGCGTGTAATTGTATTAATGCAAAGTGAACTTATAAACGACCTTAAGTTCAATTTCTTATTTGGCGCGTTGATTTCTTTTTTTCCTTGTTATTAGATCATTTCTCACTTATGTGATTGTATAAATAGAATAGAAATTAAATTCCTATTATTGTATTCTATTCAGCAAGGTGACCAAAGTGAACAAAGTATGTTATGGATGGCGTGATCAGAGGACGTTTATTTTCAGCCAGACGACGTGATTAAATGAAGACCATATGCTACTCATTACATGATCAATTGCTCGTTGCGAATCACGTTCTCGATTAGTACACGTCATGTACTGATATGGTTTGACTCTGGAATGCATATATAAATCGATAAGTATGTATTCCCAAGAAAAAACAACAACAAAAAGAAAAAAAAAAAAAGCGGTATTCAGACTCGTAGAGCATTTGCAATGTTTCACCTGTCCTCGCTTTTTAAGTGCCATGCCCTTTCAAAGTGTATGAGATAGGCGCCCAACATATATTGTAGGAAGTGGTCAGACGATTTTGAGGTTAAAGAAAACGTGTCCCCTATTCAATTCAGATGATTTGAAAAAAGAAACTTCTTTTCTTGTTTTGCTTCTTTTTGTCTCTTCCCAGCGATTTCAAGTACACTTTCTTCCTAACTCCTAAACAGAAAATCACTAACACTTTAAAAAACTTGTCGAAGATATGACAACTAAAATAGATTACTTTGTTTTTCCTCTGAAGAAATATTTTTCTTCGTTAGAAGTAAATGGAAAAGTAATTTACAATTCCACCAGCTTAGAGTAACGTGTAATATCCACGTAAAAAGGTACCTTTTTTAATAAGCTTTTCTGCTTGTTTATTCTGATTACTAGAAGTATTGTGTAATCTTTCCATTATAAACAGTTTCCTTGAAGCATTCATTTTCTTTAAAGCGCTTTGAGAATTAATGCATTGAAAAAAACACGTGCAGAATCACCCTCACTTTCATTTTCATTTCCCATTGTTTATTGTTATTAAAATCTGTCAAGGTAATTCTCGATGAATTCAAACGAATTACGATCTCAAGAAAATTAATGCCGACAGGCAACAAAAATCGAAACTATTTCTTCGTTTCCGATAACGGCTCCTGTTTCGATAATTCAACCTCACGCTTAATGATTTTTATATGATTTAACCCCCACATACACCACCCCAAAAATGTCGGCTTGCCTATTTGATTTGTTATATTGTTGTATATTTCCTATTGGTACCAGTTGTCATTGCAGCTCGGACCATAGACTGGGTTTTAATTGCTTTTTTAAAGACAAACTGTGAATGACGCACCTTTTCTATTTAAAAAAAAATTTTTTTTATTTCACTATTTATTTTTGCGCTGTACTGGTTAACCCTTGTAAATAACATAGGAAGTTTTAGTTAGCAAGCTAATTTCGCAGAACATTAGTACTTATATGATCCTCACTGGATGGCCCATGCTTGTGGCAGACTAAGCTCAGATTAGGAAATATAAATATGAGCGACTTGCAGCAGACTAGGAGTTAACGAATTGATCTCACAAACAATGAGACTGTTGAAGCGTGTGCATTCCTTATTTGGAACCCTAAAATTGTTATCTGTCAGACTAAGATAGGTTTAATAATTAACCATTAAAGGCGTCTCGTTAGTAAACTTGTCACGTCTCTAAGTTCATATCCTCATTGGATATACTAAATTTTCCTCACCGACTTGCTTATAGATTATGCAAAAGGTTTTCATAAAATACATCATAAAGAACTACTTGAACTATTAGGTAAGCTTCATTTATTTGGGAAGGATATTAGAATAATACAGAACTTATAATGGGAGCAAACCGCCTGCACACGGAGAGGAAATCAATTCAACAAATACACGAAAATAGAAAGGTGCGTAAGATAAGGATATGCTTTTTCATTGGACTTATTCAAACTTTACAGTGTGGCAATCCTGAGAAACTTAGAATTAACAACATAAAATCTGTAAAATATGTATATTACACAGTATTGATAGCAGGCATAGAAAAGAAAACTACATGTAGTAGAGGAAAGCGAAAACAATGAACTAAACGTCAATAGTAAGAAAATAATATATGGTTGTCGGCAAAAAAACAGCCCAAAATGCAAAAACAAAAAACAAAAAAAAAAAAACAAAACAAAAAAAAAAGCAGAAAAACAAATTGGAGACACCAAATACAAGAAATACAAGTACAAAAATTTAAATATCTAGAAAGTGTTTTAACAGAGGAAGGATAATGTGACACGGAAATCCGAAGGTGCATTGAAATAGCGAAGATGCCTTCCAAAAGCTAAGTAAAGTATTAAGAAACAGAAAAATTTCGTTAGAAACAAAGAAGAGAGTACTGAAGTGTTATGTAATATCGGTCCTTCTATATGGTAGCGAATGGTGGGAAATCTCTTCACAGATGAAGAAGAGACTTGAGGCAACAAAAATGTGGTTCTACCGAAGGATGCTGACAATACCATCGACTGAACATGTGAGCAATGATGAAATTCTGTGGAAAATAGAAACAAAAAGTATATCTATACTTAGAATAAGAAAAGGACAGTTGACATTCCTAGGATACATAACGAAGAAAGAGGGCTTGGAGAATTTGACACTTATAGGGCACATTGAAGGCAAGAGAGAGAAAGGAAAACATCGAATAACCTACCTAACGAGTTTGTGTAAATGGTTGGCAGAACACAGATTAGGACAGCAAAAAGACAAAAGTTATGGCGCACCATGATCACCCATGACCTAAAGGACATGCTACATAGAAGAAGAAAAAATTCCACGAAGCTAAACTTCGTGAATAAGTATAAAAAAAATAAAGTATCCCTCGTTGTGTATAGCCAAAAGCATAAAAATTTCCGAAATCTACTTTGGTATTCTTTCTGTAATATAAAGCCGTGTGTTTATATAGTACTCACTGTAAGACCTGTTGATTTTCCGGTGTAGCTATACGTTACTGTTGAGAATTTTGTAGCAAGTAGGTTTTTACTGCGATCCCTATGTCCAAACGGTTTTACATTCATATTTGTCCTTCCCCAACGAAAGCTAAAGATTCCAGTATCTTTGCTATCAAGCATTAACTGGGTGGTTGAGAGTAGAGAATAAATGGAATCATATCTTTCTAAGAGTATTTGTGCGAAATCGAACACAACGACCTCGGCCAGAATTTGAACTCAATCCTACTTTCAACGACGATAACCACTACGCTAACACACACACACACACACGCGCGCGCACACACACACACACACATATATATATATATCATAACATCATCCACATGCAGAAAAAGGCTAATGGAAGTATTAATAAAAATTTAAAAAAAAGCTAACACTCAATAATATCAACGATGAATACGCCCAGAATGTGCTGACTGTGTTTGTAAAATAAAAAAATCATATAACTCTAGATACATGCCTAAAACAATCCATATATTCAGTTAAAAGTAAAATAAAATTGATATAACAGAAAATGCTTGGATATATAAAACATTCGGACAATTTTTAGCTAATTTATGACCTGAGAAGAAAATATTATAAAAAACACATGAAAAATTATATAAAACTTAACCACAGCACTATGGCAGTCGTTTTTAACGAAACTTGCATATAGACTGGGACTCGGTCAGTGATTTTCTTCGCAACGTCGCTTGGAATGTGGTTTTTAATCACCCCGTTCAAAAATGTGCGTCTGAGGTCTCCTGCGTAAAAGCTGTCATCGAAGTTTCCATCCCAGCAAGAAAATACAAAGTTAAATCACGCTCATCTCCTTTGTCCATAGGATTCACTTCCGTCTGTACCGGAGCGACATGTCTGATTGCAACAGACGTCTCTCTCTGCTCGTAATGAGTGCAAGCGTGTCCTCATTGATGCAAAGTTACTATTTGCTGATAGAATGAAACAACGTATTGCATCTCCCAAGTTTGGTTCTAAAGATTATTGGCGGCTCTGCAAGAGTGTGCTGAACAATACCAAATCCAGAAACCCTACTCTATTCAATCAGTTCGAAGTCCTAACTTCCACAGCTGATAAGGCTGAATGATTTGCTCTGAAATTTTCATCTAAGTCAACACTCGACTCGTCCGTAGTACCCACACCTGATTTTCCCCCTAGAACTGAGGCTCAATTGAGTGAGATGAGCATAACCCCGATGATGGCATTGGGCATCATCTCTAAATTAGACTCTCATAAAGCAAGTGGAGGTGACGGGATACTAGCCGTAGTCCTAAAGAAATGTTCTCCTGAGCTGGCTCCAGTTCTCTCCAGACTATATAACTATTGCCTTGCTGACTCTTGCTTTCCAGCCTGTTGGAAGTCCTCATCTGTTGTACCTGTTTTTAAGAACTCTAGAGACTCTACTGACTCATCTAACTACCATCCTGTCAGTTTCTTACCACTCTTCGGCAAAGTCTTCAAGGCTTTAATCAATGCCGAAGTGGTTAAGCACCTTACTTCCTATTATCAACTCTCTGACAAGCAATATGATTTCCGCTTTGCCCGGTCTACCGCTGACGGGCACACGGCTATAACTGAATTTATATACCAAGCTCTTGATAATAACAACGAAGCTCGAGCTGTGGCTCTAGATATCTCGAATGCATTTTACAGGGTTTGGCATGCCGGCCTTCTACGTAAGCTTCAGGGATACGGTATTACAGGAGTATTTATTTGATTTTATCCAATCATTCCTGTCTAACCATAAAATGAAAGTTCTCCACAGACGACACTACCATTTACTCCTGTCTCAATAGTAAATTCGGCATTGCTGGCAAAGTTAACCTGACCGTTGGTCTCGCAAAGGACCTCCAATCTGTGGTTGACTGGGACAGGAAATGGCTTGTAAACTTTAATGCCTATATAACGAAACTGCTCTCATTTACTTAACATAGAGAAACCGCCCTGCTTCCTATCATGATGGCTGATGCTCAACTTCACGAGAACGTCTATCTGCGCTTTCTTAATCTCACGTTTTCCACTGATCTGAGGTGGAACAACTACATAGAATCAATAGCTACATCTACCGCAAGCAAAGTTGGTTCACTGTGTCGCGCCAGAAGGTGTTTTTCTCGCCTGAGTCTATCCTTCAAATATATAAATCTACCATTCGTCCTTGCACTGAATACTGTTGCCATATATGGTCTGATTCTCGTCAAAATCCAAAGACAGATATGCAATGTGATAGGTCCTGGCCTGGCATCTCGACTTCTCACAGAAATGATGTGACTTCCTTCTGTCTTTCGTACAAATATTGTCATGGAAACTGCTGTGACGAGCTATTTTCACAGGTGCCCCAACTGCATAAATTTAAGTGTGCTGCTAGGTTGGCATCTCAGTCCCACCTCTTCAGGCCATGAAACATACTGTCGCCACTTGCCTACTTTTATATTTACATACACTCTGTCCTTGATATTGAGTACTTTTACCCTTAAATATAGTATACCTTAAAACTATTTTTTATCATATATATATATATATCGGTCATGTTATCTGATTACCTCTAATAACTAATGTGTTATTTCATTGTTATGAAGCAATGAGCAAACAATAATTATGCGAACATGACTCATCTTACTATAACAACAGAAAGTGATTAATACATTACTTTTTATTAGTTTCATTTCGTCGTATCTTTCTTTGGATATTTTTTTTTATTTCTAATGATTTAAAAAAGCTGATTTCTTTCTTTTTGCCACAATAAAGTTTACTGTATGGATAAAAATCCTAGATTACTTATACAGAAAATATAATTGATGCAGTTGCAAAATTACTTAAACACTGACGCTATTGTTTGAAATTGATGGTAAACTAGTTTAATAATATTAATGTGGAGGCAAATTTATTCTAACGTGCACATACTTTGAAAAGGGAAATTTAGTGTCTGTTGAAACGAAGTCATGAACTATTGCACTAACACTGGTGTCCTGCTTCTATAAAATTTGGTATAGCAAATAAATCTTTGAATTGGTTGTATTTAGACAGCGATATTTTATTTACATAAGACCAACGAAAGTACTTTGTTAATGATTAATAAAATAGTAATAAAGCTGAAATTAAAATTTTACCCAAAACCAGAAAACTAAATAAAATTCCTTAACAAAGGACTTTCGTTGATCATTAACGAAATCTGATATAAACTTTTGTATCTCAACTCTGAGAGCAGTCAAGCACACGAGGTAAAACGTAACATCGTATTGAAATCAATGCTTTCAATCGATTTCTCTAATGCCTGTCCTAACATTTTGATTATTATCAAAGGAAATCAACAGGGGTCTGTTTTCCAGGTAGATTCCACCAATACAGTATCTAAGGTAAAAGACACTTTCCTTCAATGTGGGTTGTACACCTGAAACAGTTCTTGGAATAAATATTTTTATATTGATGTAAAAATGTTACGTTGACTTACTGACTAGCAATGATTTTTTAAATTGAATTCACTGACTACAAAATCACTTGATTGGAGAGACAGCTATCTTTGAAATTATTAGTACAGGTTATTTGGACAAGTATCATAATCCTATTTGATTTTATCACAACGTTTCGCCTGGGGCATTCTCTATCGACGACATTAGACTGATGGCAATGAACAGGCTCTTAGTTTCATACAATATTGAATTGAAGTTTTGACAAACATCTACTTCATAGCATCTATTGGTGTCAGATACAAACTTAGTAATATCGAAGAAATATAGATAGGGTATGTCATATATATATATATATATATATATATATATATATATATATATATATATATATATATATATACGAAGAAGTTCAATGAACTGTGACCGTCATGGACTGGGCACCACTTATTTCCTTTGAAGAAATATTTATCCGATTGATATTGTAAAATATGTATTCCACTATGTGTCATTCACACTAACTTCGACTTAACTCACCAAATTGAGTCTGCATGACCTCACTCAACTGCCAAATATTTATAGATGCTGTCCTTCAACCGAACGGAAGTGGCAAGAAGGGATGTCACAACGGCACCAGCCAGAGTAATCTTCAGTCAAGTTTTCAACGGTATATCAATTCTAAAAATTCTAAACAAACGCACGCAGTTTTTCCAGGAAAATTTAAAAGAAAAAGAATAATTTTTCAGCTCGTACAAGTTGTTAAAAGCTGTGATAACAGGTCCAAATGAGAGACAAACAAATAAATACCAGTGCCAAATAGAGAAAGAAAAGAAAGGAGAGATAGAGAGGAAAAGAACCTAGAAACAGGAGAGAGAAAAGGGAAAATATTGATGGAAAGAAAACGGTAGAGTTGGAAAGAAGAAAGCGATTGTAGGTAGAGACAGGGAAAGAAAAGGAAGGAAAATAAGAGAAGGGATAGAGGGGATATACAAAAAGTGGAAGAAGGATGTGGGAAAAGACTGAGAGGGAAAGGAGGGAAGGAAGGAAGGTGTTAAGAGAACAGATAAAAATAGAAGAAGGAAGAAATGAAAGAAAGAATAGATAGCAAGCAGATGCAAAATAAAATAAAGAATAATACGATGAAAGAAAAAACAGAAAATATAGAAGAGATAGATGGGAAGCAAAAAATAGAAAAAGAGGAAGCAGATAGATAAAGTGAGGAAGGAAGGAAGGAAGGAAGGAAGGAAGGAAGGAAGGAAGAGGTAGACTAAAGTAAAATGAAAACAAAGTAAGAGAGGAAAGAGAAGATAAAAAAGGCAGAAATAACGTGAAACTGATATGGAAAGAAAGAAAATATATTGTGGTAAAGGAAAAAAAAGGTATAAAACATTTTTAACTTATTGACTATAGTTTACAGTTTGTACTTTATGTGAGTCAAATTAGATTCCAAACCGCCATCTTGACACTGGCTGAATCTGTGAACAACACGTTGAAGAAGACGAGTTCTAGTTTTACCAACTGATGACTTTTAGCAAAAACTGTTGGGGAATATTTGATAGGATCTAAGTTTGCATTTATTCCCTTGTGTTAGACACAAAAGCATGACGTCTGCTTCTTTACATTCGAGTCGAAAGTTCATTGTGACGCAAACCTGGTGAAACTTGCACTTAAAAACACGAAATAGCGATGCACACAGTAAATGTACGGGAAAATATCAAATTACACGAATCAGTTATCATATTGGTTACTTTCAGTTTTCATCCTTTCTCTCTCTTTCTGTCTGTTTCTCTCTCTCTCTCTCTCACACACACACACACAGACGTGTGTGTGTGTGCATAAATAATCTGTCACCTCGAGAGGACTAATACGACATGGTTTTTAATGGATTAAACACTTTTGCGTAATGGATGTTCCAGAAATTGCTCAGTTCTATCAGCGTTTGCTGGAGGCATCAGGACATGCTTTTGATCTTACTCTATTTAGTAAAGTGGGAAGGTAGCGCCTCAGGGACGAGCCATCTAGAACCAGGTTTCTATACTCATTCTTATTGATTTCCTGTCATGTATGACCACTTCCACCAGTAAAGATAAGAAAATAGCCTCTCATACACACACACACACACACACACACACACACACACACACACACACACACACACACATATATATATATATATATATATATATATATATATGTATATGTGTGTGTGTGTGTGTGTTTTGTTAAAAACGACTGACAAGTTACTGCGGTTAATGCGGTTAAGGATTTTAATTAATTTATCTTGCGTTCGTATATATTTCTATTCTTTTTCTGGACATAAATTATGTAGAAATTCGTCCGAATGTTCTACATGTCCGAATGCGTTCGGCTATTCTTTTAGCTATTATCAAGGATGATTTTATTTTTTACTATTAACTGAATATATGATTTTTTTTTTATGTATGTGTCTAGAGTTACAGGAATGTTTTTATTTTCCAAACAGGGTCAGCACATTGTGGCCGTGTTCGTAGTTGATGTTATTGAGTGTTGGCGTTTTCTTTTTTTTATTAATACTTTCATTAATTTTAGCCCTTTTTTGCACGTGGATGAGGCTATTATATTTGTATTTTCTACGTGTACGTTACGAGTGGAGTTTGGTAGGTTTTCGTGCGTATTTCAATAAGACCTGATTGAGCTGTTGTCAGAAAGATGTAACGCGACTTCTTGTTAAGCATTTAGTGGCATGTTCAATATAATTAATACAGATAAAAACACTAACATTAACATTTTCTATAAAAATCAAATGCATGGTAACAAGCAGAATGAATATTCCCTTAGTAACATTATAAAGAAATATACAACTTCAGTCGACAAAAACAAGAAAATTAAATTATCTACTATAAAAAATTTAAATCAGCTAATCTTATCATCAACAGCAATAACTTCCCTGCAAGATCCAAATTATGGAGAACCAATTTCACATGTCCGTTAAGGAACCGTGTTCCTGATGAAACGAAATTCATGAATAATTATATTGAACATACCACTACCTGCCTAACAAGAAGTCTCACGTTACATCTCTCTGACTATAACTCAATTAGGTTTCATTTAAACACACACGGAGACAGAACAATCTCCATCTGCAACATACTCATAGAAAATACAAATATAATAGACTCATCTACATGTAAAAAGACTAAAAATAATGGAAGCCTTAATCATAAAAAGAAAAAAAAACTAACACTCAATAACATCAACTATGAACACGATCACAATGTGTTGACTGTGTTGGGAAAATAAAAATATTTCTGTAACTCTAAATACCCACATAAATATTTCGCAACATCTCGGCCAGCAGATTAAATCTGATATAAATCAATTTACATTATCCTTCATGGAAACAGTAAATTATGTCAGATTTAATCATACAAGTCAATCTATTCACAATAAAATTGAAATTAATCAACTGCTTTTAATTCTCTGAAAAATGGAAAATATTCAACTCAGCAGACCATTGACAATCTATTATTGATATTTACTAGCCTAGTTTATTTTGGCACGAGTCCATTGGCTAAAAAGATTGCACTCGCCACTATTCCAAGTCGATTCTTGGATTTGAACACTAACCACTCGTGCCGGCAAGAAAGCCGCAGCAATCTTGCCGACATCGTGGGCAAAACTATAATTGATTATGCATACATTTGTTAAAGATAAGAATGATAAACGCATACCAAAACATACAATTCATAAAGGTATGGAAGATTGGCCTCGACAGTGATATATTTATCATTAGAGTTTATACTTTCAAGTTAGTAAGCTCGTTTCGCTGATCGAGTCGTTAGTCTAGTGAGATCCATCCTAACTAGGTGCTCTGCTACGTTAGCCTTGTTTCATACTAGGCTAAATTTAGTAAATAATCATCCCTCTTAAGGTTACTGTATTTTACAAGTTGTTTATGTATCCTTTTGTATCACAGATAGGACTTATAAGATAAATACGTCCAATTGATTATATATATATATATATATATATATATATATATATATATATATATAGTGATTTTCCAAGCGTAGCTTAGATGTAACAAAGGCTGAAATTAGGGGGCACCCAGTGAGGATCGAACTCACTACTCAATCGTAATTGTTCTAGCGAGCCAAGCTTGCGAACCATTACACCGCCTCGAGGTCCCCATATATATATATATATATATATATATATATATATATATATATATATATATATATATATATATATATATATATATATATATATATATATATATATATATATATATATATATATATATATATATATATATATATATATATAAAATGTGCTATATTTATGGGATAAAGTGCTCAGTATCAAGGATAGAGCGTATGTAAATATAATAGTGGATATTGAAGTCAACACTTAGAGGAGACGGACTGTTTCATGCTAGACGCAATCGTCAGGCCACATTGACTTCAATGTCCACCTTTATATATATATATAGAGAGAGAGAGAGGGAGGGAGGAGAGAGAGAAATTTAAATGGTCACTTCTCTATGACTATTCTGAGTTTCGCAGAGATCGTATCAATTTACTTGATAGTAAAATAGTATTATCTAAAGCGTAAAACTGATAGCATCTCCGCTAAACCGACAGTATTAGTGATAGTTAAATGAATATTTAAAATTATTTGTTATCATTAATCCTCTGTTTTTTGACAACAGTTTAATTATAAAAACTGTTTGTTTGCCTTAAAATCTTAGTTTACCTTTTTTTTTCAAAACGCCATCTTTGTGATATATATATATATATATATATATATATATATATCCTGGTGGTGGATGTGAAAATGAATCAATAATTACGATTGTTTTTCTTCTAATTTTTCTTTTTGTTTGTGCGACTTATGCTTCCTGTCAGCTTTATTCCTTTGCTTCGTGTAGTTCCCGATGCTGGTGAGTGATTTTCTTCTTTTTCTTTACTCTATAAGTCTATTAGCGTCATTTCTGGGGCAACAGGCATTATATATTGTCATTAATTTTCTTGTTGACTCATCCAAAGCTTTCACGTGTTCTCATGGTCAGATTATGAAGAACCGTGAATATTTTACTGCAGATACTACCGAAGTACTTATGATTTTTTATAAAAAATAAATTCTGGATGCGTCTCGTTTACAAAATCTTCCTTGTTTTTTTGAGGTAGTCTTTTTTCTTTCTCAAGTCCTTTCATACCTTAATTGGCAAAATTTTCATCTTATCAATTTCTATAAAGTCTATCAATGTCATCGTTTTACATCTGGTCATTTTTCCCATCTGTTGTTCTCAATTCTTCTTTGTCTAGTTTATTAAGAACCCCAAATATTTACTATTGATACTGCGTATATTTTTATACCTTTTATGAAATATCTTTTGTTGTGTCTCATCTAGAAAATCTTCCTTTTTATTTAGGGTATTTTTCCTGAGTTCTTGGTTAAAAAATCCTGAATGTTTGAACCAATATTTATAATTAACTAGTTTACATACAAAGTAAAAAAAAAGAACAAACAAAAAAAGAACAAAGGACGCTTAATGGTTAAGTAATTTTGCACTGATTACATTGTAGTTATATAATATCAAATACTAGCAGCATGGCCCGGCGTTGCCCGTGCTTGATTCAAAAATCGTACGACTCATACAGCAATCGCTATCACTTGACTTAAAATATTTTTGCCCTTCCTTGCCTTTAAAGGAGTACCCTTTGACGTACTGATGTTGCTACAATCCTTACTTCTTGCCTATCTCACACTGCGAATTCTTTCTAAGCTCTATACTAAACATTAAATGTTACGAAAAAAGAACTAAACAAAATGAACACAAAACGATCAGCTTTAAAAAAAGGACTCGTAACTGGAAAAACTGAATGAAAAAAGAATGTTAACAAATACTTTTTCACACGAAACCCAATTCTGCGGAATCAGAATCAACGTTGAGTTTAAGCAAGCGAATGAGCCCATTGGAGTAAAGTGCCATGCAGATTTAAATTTTTCGCACTTGTGACGAATGCAGCTATCGATTTTTTTTTTTGCATGCTAGCATGCTAGTTAACATTCGTGTCAGTCAGCTGTTGGCTCTCCCGCTGGCCAATAGAATGTTCCTACCTATTTGTGGCAGCCAGCTATTGGCTCTCACTCTGGCCAGTACAAAATGGCCGCAAACTACATGAAAACTGCCGTAGAAGCATGAAAAAGTCGATTATTTCCACTATCGATGGAAGTTGGGAAATGCAAAGTCGGTCTTGGACTTCCCGCTAACTTGGAGAATATGCATGTAAATTTTGGTGCAAATCCGTTGAAAATTGCGGCCGTGCATTCGTTACACACACACACACACACACACACACACACACACACACACACACACACACACACATCCTGCCTTTTATAGATAGAGATGTATATTATATAATATCAAATAAAAACTTTGTTTTTCTTGTTTTTGTTAAATATTTCTTAAATATTAAACTAAACAAATGGCACTCTCGTCCCCATTGATTATTTAGTAAATACAATTTACCCCAAGTAAGGCAGTAAAACAATTAAAACACAGGGAGTTACTGGGTGTGAAAGAACTAGAAAACAGAATCATTATGAAGGCTTGAGAACAATAAAGGAGTAATCAGGAAGACATTAGATAAAGATTGACATTGACTTTTAAGATTAAAGTTGGCTGGAAAGCATGAAACCAGAATAGAGTTCCACAAGCGAGAGGTACAAGAAAAGAAACTGTTAGCATAGAACTTGCGGTTACATTTATCCAATTCAACTGTAAAATTATGAAATCTTGTTGCCAATCTAGTACTGCGCTTAAATTCATAAAGTCTAGGTACCATAGTGAAGAGATAATCCGAACAATTACCATAAATGTATTTATAAAGAAAGCACAGGGAAGTAACTTTACGGCGGTGGGAAAGTACGTGACTGACGTCACCACAGGGATAATGATGAGAATTTGTGACGTTGCAATGTAACACACACACACACACACGCACACACACGCACACACACACATATATATATATAAAGGTACTGTTGTCGCATTTTGGATAGGTTGGTTATTTTATAAATGTTAACTTAGTCGTCGTTATTATTTTACTATCTAAGGCTCTATTTAATGTCAGTGTTCGCTTTGAGAAGTACTTCATGTTGTTATTAACAGCTGAATATTCCATTACTTAGGAATTAGTCTAGGTTGTTACCGATAAATATATAAAAATAACATCGTTTTATTTCCTAGGCAACTTGGTCTCATTTCTCGGTTTATATATTGATTATATTTTTAGTATCATTATTATTGATGTCAAGAAGTACTTTCCCCAAAAGCGTAAAGTCCAGTAAGGTTTCCAAATTTAATTTAAAGGAAACTTATTCCCGCATGAAATTTTTGCTATACATTCTTTCCTTCTCAAGTAAAAAATGTTTTTGCAATAACATACGCACATACATACATGTATATATATATACATGTGTGTGTATGTCTGAGAGAGAGAGAGAGAGAGAGAGAGAGAGAGAGAGAGAGACAGACAGAGACCAGGATGGGAAAGATGTGGAGTACCTCATAAAGAAATCAAAAATAATTCATTAACAATATGGTACCTTTCAGGTTCTTATTAAATTTAAGCTAACTGAATATCGATTGACCCTAATTTTAATCTTCTACTAAATGTTTTTGGCATAATACATAAAAATACTTTGGAAATACGTAACTCTTTTATATAAATAATTTAGTTAATGTTCTCTACTTGACTTGACCTTATTTGCTACAGTCATTTTTCTGCGTTCTTTTCTTCTAAAGCAACATTTCCTATTATCATTTGCTTGATAATCTCGTTTTTGATATAAACTTCATTTTGCTCGTTTTTGTTCCCGTGTCACGCATGCGCACATCGAAACACGCACGCGTGCTCTGCGCAAAAGCTTACGAGAAAAGAAAACAAATTGTTCATATACATTCACGAAACTATATATCATTCTGAAAACAATCACATTTATATTTACAGGGTAGCCTAAAGATTATATATCCACTTTGTTAATAGCAATAGTCGTATTTACATGCATATATTAGAGAGCTACAGAAGAGAGAAGAGCTACAAAAGACAGGAAATTGTGGAGAGCCATGATTGCCTACGTTCTGAGGGGACACAGCAGATAAAGAAGTATTTACATCAATGGGCATTTAACATTCATCATAAAAATGTTAAATTAGGAATGGAGTGTTTTAGATGTTAGTTTTAAGTTTACATTTGGTGTTCATAATGTAAAAAGAAAGCGAAAACAATTATTGTGCCAATTACAAAAGATAATTCATTAATATTCATATATATATATATATATATATATATATATATATATATATATATATATATATATATATATATATATATATATATATATATATATATATATATTTGTGTGTGTGTGTATAATATATTATCAATATATCAATATTATATATATATTATATATATATATATATATATATATATATATAAAAACTTAATAATCAAAAGATTACAATATGTTACAGAACATTCAATATTTCTCTTTCTTTGTCTTTATTTTTATTCCTAAATTTAATTAAATTTTATTGATATTGGGTTGATTTTTTTTCTGATTAAAGCTTCTACTATATTTAATCGTTTTTCAAGTTTATGTGATATAGTTTTTGTGTATAAGGATTTATCGTATTTCTTGTGCTGGTTAATGATATGCGATTTAATTTTACTATTTTAGGATAAATGGTGATAATGAGTAACAAATGCATGTCTTACTTGATTTGTTATTATTAGTGAGATATTCTCCAATTAGGCAAGTGACTTTATAGAAAATATTGGTTTGTTAAACTTTTGATATTTTTATGTATCGTCATGTTAGAGGCTTTTCGTTTTTGTGATGAGTTTGATTTGTTTTTATTGATCGTTGATATGTATCTATATATTAGATCTTAACAAAAATATTCGTCTAATTTGTGGTTATTGTGTAGGTGGGTTTTATAAAATAGTTTAAATATGTTGTTTATATTTTTATTTGTATAGTTGTTAATTCTTATTTTTCCTAATTTAATTTAATTTGCTTATCTACTATGTGGTTGGGGAAATCATTTTTAATGAACGTTTGTTTGGTTAAGTTACTTATATAATACAGTGCGTGTAAATTGTTGCTCTAATGCGTGTTTTTCTTAATTTCGTTTTCTAAAGTTGATATATAGAATTATGATAAGAGTTGGAATGATACACGAACCGTTGGAAATGCCGTCGGTTTGTGTATATATATTTCTTAAGTTGTAAGAAAGAACTTGAATGGTGTAGGCTAGAAATAGTTTCTTGAGAATTGTTAGTTATATTTTTAGAGGTGGAAGTGATTAATTTTATTAAAGATGTTGACTAGTATGTCCTTAAAAATAACTGATTATAGTTGAAAGTGTGATGACATATTTTTATACACATTGGAAACAAGTTACCTTGTTCAAAAAGAAGAGTAAATTACTCAAAAATTGTTAGAACAAACGTTACCTCTAATCTTCAAGAAAAGCTGTTTAAATATGTTATAATAATTATATCTGCAATTTTATTCAAACATTATTATATGTTAACACATTATTTATTATATATGAAAATACGTACTTCAATGCGTCAGTAGCTTCAAGATGAAAAACATTATTTCGACAAGACCCCTTTCTCTGTCAATGCACTAAACACAACTCTCCTAATTAATCAATATATCGAACGTTATACAATGAAAATTCAGATTAAAGTTCAGCTCATATCTGTGTCAAACTACGAACGTTTATACATTCTTCTATATATGTTTATACATAATAATATAATATAGCTAAATATTAAAAGTGATATAAATATTAAATTTATAAATATTATATAGATTGTGAAATATAGTTAATGATTAAAAAATATTATTCTCATTAGTTGTTTATGATATAACTTATTCTTTATTATGAAATTATTTACTTAAGACCTTCACATAATAACCAAAGCTGCAATTAAGAAAGTTTGTATATATTTGCGATGCAGGGCTTGATGTGTGAATATATGAGTGCGGTTTCCTTTTTTTCTTTGATTTATGATGTTTCTCTGTTCTGTTTTTCATATTTATTTCTCCCTGTTGTTAACTTTGGTTTGAATTTGTCAGTTATTGTTGTTGTTCTCTTCCTTGGATTACTTGCAGCACTCCAGCTATTCTGGAGAAGAACCCGAAACGATAGAAAAGAATAGATAATTAGTGATACTTTTCGCTTGTACAAGATACAAAATTTTATGCGATGCCGATTAAAATTCCAGAAGATACACTTCCGAACGCCATCACAAAGATCAAAACCCCGAAAGGATAAAACCCCGAAAGGCGAAATTCCAAAAACTGCAATTTTCATAGAATAATGGTTAAATAAGTCAATTGGTAATTGGTGAGGTCCTTCAGTTGCTTATATATTCATAATTAAATGTAGATGTCGGTGTAAATGTTATCTTTCAGAAACTAATTAAAGATCGGCGAAGTCACCCATAATCTATCCTTGTAATATACTGTTATATGGTGTATTTTCTTTCAATTTTCTTAAAAGAAATTTTCTTAAATTTTTTTATGTCTTTCATTAGAAGAAAAATCCCTTTTAAAACTAAATAAACGTCTAATTAGAACATTTTTTTTTATTATTTTTCCCGAATTATATTTTCGATATTTTCACTATTCGAGATTATAGTTTTCAGTATTTCAAAATGTAGGCTTTCTGATCCTTCTGGATTTCAACACGGGGTTATGACGCTTGGGATCATGACCAAAACCTGAATATATAGTAATATATATTTGTTGATAACTCGGCTATACATTAAATGTTTTCAAGTTCTGTTTTCCGTTCGTTAGTGTCATCTAGTAATTTTTTAAGGAAAAATCGACAAATTTTGCCTTTCGAACAAATTGGAATCTTGAAGAAATTTTGTCACTGAAATGCCACAGGGATTGTTGGTATAAATGAAAGTGATAGCATACGAGTCTTTTACATTTTAATCCTGAAATAATTCAGTTCCAGTGACAAAATTTCCTCAAGATTCCAATTTGTAAATATTGTATACATATCTCGTAGACAAATCCATTAAGAAAACACTAATTTTATTCTCGTTGCGACATCACAGTATTAAATTCTAAACTTTAAATTAAAATCAAATCGCTGTTTTCTCTTCTCAGTCAATCTATAAATCAATATGGGTTATGCAATTAATAATTCAGAATAGTATACTTATCTTTATTCTGATAACAATATTTCAATTGATTTGTCTCCATCTCACCTGATAATCTGTTAATATAAACAATTTTGATTTGAAGGACACATCAATCAGTTTTTGTTGCTCGGCTCTGTGTTTTTTCACATTGAAGTAAAGAGGAAACTTAGCAAAAATTAATGAAGTAAAATAATAAATAAGGGAAACTGTGAAAAAACTTCCGGATGTGACATACACATTAGAAAGGTGACGAACGCATCATCTGAAACATCGTCATCAAATCCGAAAAGATGAATAATATTGTCTTGAATTTAATTATTATTTTATTAGTATAGGGGCGGGTAGCCTAACGGTTAACGAAAAATGGAATCGACGAAGAGTGTTCAAACTCCTGCTGGGTCAGTTTACGTTCATTTCACACTAACATCCTTGAAAATCCGTAAATATTAAACATTATTACAAACAGTAACTTCGCGAAATGAAGGCAAAATCATTCTTCATGTATCGAACGATACAGAAAACTACTTTATTTTAACTACATTGTTAATCATTATTAATTTTTGACGGGTATTTCTTTCATGCTAATTTCAGTTGTTTTTATTACCTTAGTAGTATTTGTAGTAATATTATCTTCAATTGTATTATTGTTATTAGATGACGCAGTGTCAACTAATATTAATTTCTGCCTATGTCTTTCGTCACAATTATGTTAACATCTAGCAATTTCATTCTACAGTTGAAATTGCTAGATGTAACCAAAACTTCTATGCAAACACATTTCTCGTACGTTGAACTCTTCCGGCTTCTTACTTTCCAGTCAAATTTGATATCTAAAGATTTAAACGCACTGTCAATCATCTTTTGTTTACTTAATTCCTGTTTTTTTTTTATTCGCCCCTCTCCTTAATAAAGTTTTTTTCTCAGATTCTCAGTAACTCCTTGTTTTTTAGTGACTTTTATCGCCTTGCTTGGAGTGAAATCATCAAAAAATTCGGTTGTTTTCCAACGTAGCTACTGAGATCGTCAATTTAAGGCTGTTGCAATGAAAAGAAACGAATAAACATACTAATTAAAAAAAAAATTATAATGGTTAACAAGGCTTCGACTAAAAATAAAATTTCTTCAGGACGTGGGTGATCGAAGCTCCCACGACTTCCTATCTTTATAACTCTAGGCAATGTTTGTCCCTTTACTATATTTCCTTGTCACTGTTCTGTCATCCATTTATACAGGCCCATTAGGCAGGATACTCGCTGTTTCCCTCTGCTCTTTTGACCTTCAGTATAGCCTTTAAATGTCAAATTATCTAAGTTCTAGGACATAATGA